GGAAGGAGACACGCTGAACGCCATTGCGCTGCAGTATTGCTGCTCGGTGAGTCCTCCGGGTGCTTTTCCCGGGCGGGGTGCGGGCCGGGGTGCTGCCCACGGGCTGGTCTGTGCCCTGGGTCGAGTGACAACACGTCGTTAAAAAAAAAAAAAAACAGCGTTAGTATGACCTCTATGAAAGTCTTAGTCCTCTATGACAGGAGATTGTAGTGAGGTGGGTGCTGGCCTCTTCTCTAAAGTAACAAGTGATAGGACAAGGGGAAACAGCCTCAAGTTGCACCAGGGGAGGTTTAGGCTGGATATTAGAAAAAATGTCTTCACTGAAAGAGTGATCAGGCATTGGAACAGGCTGCCCAGGGAAGTGGTGGGGGCACCATCCCTGGAGGGGTTCAAGAAACATGTAGATGTGGTGCTTAGGGACATGGTTTAGTGAGTTAGGTGGTGTGGGTTGATAGTTGGACTTGATGATCCTTGAGGTCTTTTCCAACCGTAATGATTCTGTGATTCTATAATAGTTGAGAATGTGCTGGAGTTCCAGTCCCATAGGCTTTTCCAGTTAAAGATAATGTAAGCGTAAAAAATTGTGATTTTGCTTATGGTATGTAAAAGTGTACACGTTACAGTAAAAGTTATACTCATGCATAGTCTACTAATGCTGTCTTTGCTGTCAGAGTTATTGATGAGGATAGTCATGCTGAAACACCTTCAGGGTTTGTGTGGAGCCTTCATTCCATTAAGGGAGGGGGGGAGAAAAAACCCTGCATTATACTTTTCTTTGCAATTCTGCTAAGTTATAGAATCATAGAATGGTTTGGGTTGGAGAGGACCTTAAAGATCATTTAGTTCCAACCCCCTCTGCCATGGGCAGGGACACTTAACGCTAGATCAGGTTGCTCAACACCTCATAAAGTTGCCTAAATATTTACCTGAACAAGCATGTTGTACCATTGGGAGCTTTCTGCCCACATGCCTCAAGTCTTCCCGTCTGGTACACTTCAGGTGCTCAGACCTCACTACTTCTCATAGCTAAGAGTTCTTTAGTCTGGTGCATGTCCTTCCTACCCAGTACTTAACGGCTGGCAAGTACTAATTAAGGCAGAGGCTTCTGGCTTGGTTGATGTTAGCCTTTGCATGTATGCAGCTTTAACAGGAAATCACCTGTGTGTGTTGGTGGACTTACTGCTAACTGTGCAGTTTTCAAGAGGTCACATTCAAAATCCATATTTACAGAAGTATCGCTGTAATTTAATTCTTCAGGCAGAAACACAATTCGGGACCTCCTGTCATGAGCTTAGGTATCAAAGTCTTGACATAAGTATTTCATAATCATGGCAGTCCTTAGCCTCATTAACCGATTCTTGGCTTCAGAACCCACTGCCATTAGGTATTTTGAGCAGGCTTACTAGATCAGGCCTCACATAAGAAATCAGTGGAGAATGTGGAAGAGTGGTCCAGCACTTCAGGCAGAAAGCATAACTTGCATTTTGGTGGAGTCACTAATCATTGAGGTAAACGCTGTATTTAGCAGTCTTTTATGTTCATTTGATTTATTCAGCAAGGCACATGTAACAAATACAGGGACAGCAACTGAAACACTTTTTTCATGTGACAAGATTAGTGCAGGCAGTAGGCACTGGTCACCCAAACTTACTTTTGTGACCATATCTGTGTTGTAAGTGGAGCAGTCACAGCAACAAGGGTCTCTTGACTACCTTGTTTTCTGTTTGTAACTTCTCCTGGGGTAGATATCCTCCCAGTGAGGACAGGAGGGATCTGAACTCAGGTGTTGTGCATCTTAAAATGGGCACAATTCCTGTGTGCTTACCAGGTGTTGCAAAAAAGTACTGATTTTTAAATGCTTCATTATGGTGAGGTTTGTGGCTGTGCCTTCAATGTTGAGGGAGTTACTGTCTCAGAGTGAAGCTGCTAATTCTCCAAAGGCACTTAAATCCTTACAGAGCATTTCATAGAATCATAGAATGGTTTGGGTTGGAAGGTACCTTAAAGATCATCTAGTTCCAACCCCCCCTGCCATGGGCAGGGATAAATGGGTATTTCATGTTAGACTTAAAATCTGAACTTCACAAGAGCAAAATGAGAGTAATTTTGAGCAAGAACAGCGAAAGAGGAGAGCTGACCTGATGAGGGAAGATGACAGTTTTAAGTTACGCTTGGTTTCTGCCTTAGCTCCCAGAAGCAGAAAGAATATGCAAAACACATCTATGGCTAGGTGAATTGGAAGCTCATAGTTTTTAATATTCCTTACTCAGAAGTTTTGAGTTTGATTAGGAACTCACAGTAATTTATTTCATTTGAAAACACTGAGGTCAAGTCTCATTCATTTCACAGAGACAGTTGCCACTGATAGTTGAATATACAGTAAATGAAGATATATGGGTGAAGTGACTTTCAGCCCTCTTATCTGAAGTGGTGATATTTGTTACCTCATAATTACCTTCTTGCTTTAACATTGTTCAGATTTAGTCTTTGACTTCTTTCTCACTTCATATTGTTTGAATGGGTATTGGTTTTAAAAAAAAGGCAATACAAAACAAAGGCCTTTGTTTCATTAGGGAAGAATTGTATTTCTCAAGGGTGTAGTAAAGAGTTTCGGTTCAGCGGGGCTTTGATATTTAAACTGTTGTTTTTATTTTTAGGTTGCAGATATCAAGAGAGTTAACAATCTTATCAATGATCAAGATTTTTTTGCCCTGAGGTCTATCAAAATTCCAGTGAAAAAGTTTAGTGTATTGACTGAAACACATGTCTCTCCAAAAGGAAGACCAGTCCTTCGGCCTGCTCACTGTTCCCCAGACGTGCAGGAAACGTCACCTTCTGATAAATTTTCTGCTAATGAGACTGCCGGTAACTTCTTAAAAGAAGTGGATCGAGATATAGAAGAAATAGTGAAGTGTAATGATACCAAGAGAGAAAATCTTAATGAAGTTGTTTCTGCCTTAGCAGCCCCACAGATCTGTTTTGAAACTGATGGTAAAAATAAAAAATGCAAGGATCCTTATTATGGAGCAGATTGGGGTATAGGATGGTGGACAGCTGTCGTGATTATGTTGATTATAGGCATAGTAACTCCTGTTTTTTATCTCCTGTATTACGAAGTTCTAGTGAAAGCAGATGTCAGTCACCATTCTACAGTGGAATCTTCCCATTTGTCACAGCAGCATCACACTAGAAACAAATAGAAAATGGAATAAATCCAGCAAATATTATAAATGTTGATAATCAAGGAGACCTTCAGCCTTAACAACGGAAAAGCCCAGGCAACTGTTATTCATGGACACAACATAGGATTAGATAAAGAAGAAACCACAGAACGCAAAATGGATCTGGAAGGCAGAGAAAATGCCTACTGATGTGTGACTTGCCTTTATGGGCAGCATTCCACTGCCAGGATATTTCTGTGGACCATGCAGTCTCTGAATATCCCTGAGACAGGCGATTTTAATGCAAGATTGGGATATAAATTAAGGTATAAAGTTGTCTCTGAAGCGTTGCACTTTTTTCTATTTTGATAGGCATATTTTTTTAATTAATGATGAGGTTAAAAAAAATGTAGTTTGAACTAACACATGAGGAGTCTCACTGTATGTTTTACAGCCCTAAAATGGGCATTTGGGGATATCTAACTTCTAAACATCTTAATGTATTTGTAGAATGCATAGTACACTTGACATTCTAATATCTGGTTTACAATTGTCAGTTAAAACTGCGTTCTCATAATTTTATCTTTCTTATAGAGTAAGAGATTTTTTTAAACCAAATCATTCCATAATTAATTGCCACTATGAAGTTCTTTGTTAAAAGTGACTTATAGAGGCAGTAGCTAATTCTTAAGCTGGAATCTTCAAGTCTTGTGCCTGTTGTGAAACCATTCTTTAGTACTTTTCAGTATAGGCAGTAGGATAACTTGTTTCCTGAGTATGTGACACTGTCCCTCAACACCGTCCATTTGAGAGAGTTTTGTTGAAGTTTCGCATCCTTCCGTGGTATCCTGCTGCAAACTGACTGGACACGACTGTACTTCTCATCTGCTCAGCTGTGTTTAGAAGAGAGAAGTGCAGATGGGTGGCACCTTGCTGCTTCAGTAGTCTTTATTTTATGCTAGTGATTTTTTTCCCCTCCAGTTAATCTCAGTTCAGGACAAACTGATTCTTCAGATGGCAGTCATGTGGGTACTGAGTATGTTAATGGTTGTGTGCCCATGAACCTCAGACACTAACATTTTCCTGAAATCTCCTAGAAAACTTCAAATGAGATTTAATGGCTGCTAGAAAGAAACTTAAATTGCAGCAGAATAGACCAGTTGCAACTTAAGACTTGTTCTTTATGTAGTAGTGTATTCATAAACCACTCTGTTCTTGAATGTTTGGCTTGGGGTTTAATGAACAACCTTGGTTTTCCCCTCTTTTCTTCCCTACCTGAACATGCTACAAGAGAAACAAAAAAACCCCTGGACTCTTCCTACAGACAGAAGGAGGTACTTATATACTCAGAATATTTTAAAATAAAATCTGAGATGCTGCCTGTAATTTTGTTGTTATATTTGCCTTGTGCAGTAAGGTATGCATGGCCCTGTTCAAGGTATCCTTTGTTACCAAAGCCCAAAGTAAATGACTTGAATCTGACTTAGAGAGAAATGGGAAAATATCACTATCCTTTAAGCTACTATTTATTATAAGTTTTCCTTTGAGTGTCTTGACTGAGTACATACAGTATAAAAAAATCTGATGTTTCCTAACTACTGGGAGGTATTCCAAAGTGCTTTATCAAAGTAAATTTTGAAAGTGAAAGCTCATATTTCATCTATTCTTGGGGAACCTGTTGCCCTGCGAAGTGGGGCAGATATTCTTCAGTGGCATGCTCAGTGTATGAGCATGAATTGGATAACTTTAATGTATAATGTTGAGATGGAAGCAGGCCAAAGTTTCAAGGGAAATGCTGCAGAGTGGGACCTGTGAACTATTGATCTGTGGCTCTTGAACCGTTTGACCAAAGTGGTATCTGTGGAGATAGTGTGATTACTCATAGGTTCCAGGCGAGAAGAGGGATTGCAAACAGGCATAAACTCAGGCTTCATGTAACACTTGTTTTCAAAGATCTTTTAAAATTATAGTTCTTCTAATGAATATGCTAATAACACAAGCATGAATACTGAAGTACCAGTTCTGGGTAAGAATGTATGAAAAACTGTTGCAAAATAATTTATGGTGGCTAATGTGATACAAATTCTGTGGCTAAAACTTTAAAAGGTGACTTGGCCTACCAGGCAACAGCTTTGGCACATAAAGACATATAATTTCTATGTAGGACTGAAACTTGGTACATAACGGTGTCAGTTTTTGCTGCAAGGTTATTTGCTGATTTGCCTCTTTCCCCTTCATGCTGTTTCTGAAACCTCAGCATTTTTAAGACATTACCCTTCTATTTCTTATGAAACTGTCAACATGAAATTAGCTATATTGGGGATGCAATATAAACCTAATTTACTGCATGTACCTGAACTGAGGGGTATTAAGTTGCCATTGGTACAGAAGTGAACTAAACTTCAGTTGTGGTTTGACTCAGGTCAGGAAGGTCTCTATCCTGTTGATGTACAAGTAAAGAGCTCTGTGGTTAATTTTTTTTTTTTTTTTGGTCCTGTGATGGTACAGCTGAAGAGTTCTCTACAGTGTCTTGGACTTTGGGCTTTTACTGTGCTGGAAGGCCTGTGGCTTACTGTCACCAAGTTACTTGTGATGGGCCTTTATTTACCTTAGGATAAGCAGTCATTAGCAAAACACAACAGGATAGCTGTTTTATTGAACGGTATTGTATTGAACTCTAACCAAGAGCCTAGCATGTTTTCATGATTTTACTATGTAGCATATTTCATATAGAACATTTTTAATTAGAGAGTTAACTTTATCAGAAGATGCAGGAGGTCTTTTTCCAAGATTGTAGGATTCCCTGTACTGGTAATCTACAAGCACTGGCTGGCTTGGCTTTCTGCAGGATGCAGGGATCTTTACTTTTCCAAAGTACAATACAACTGGCAATGCATCATCACATCAGCCCTGAAAAACAGGGTAACTGCTCTGTATGGAACTTAATCAGATTTTAAGTTAAAAATCTGTAAAGTTAAGTCTTTTAGAAACTGACTTGTTTAAAAAAAACACCCACAGAAAACTGAGTGGTAAATAGTGTTTTAGATTAATTACAACACATTGTTGATCAGGAAGTTGGTTTTAAATTTAAGTGCATATTGCACTGTTGGATCGTGTAAAATGTAAATGCTTTAAATCTGCTATATTTTGGAGTATGTTGTCACAAATAGTCTTTGTATAACTATTTTATAAAGGCTGAAAATGGAACTTTGAAAAATAATCCTGAATGGGGATGCAAGTCTTATTTAAAATACTTCTGCTCCTCTGCTTTTAGAAGAACGTAAGTAACAGAAATAAATATTTTATTTTAGACTGCAGTGAAAGTGGTGCATATAAATGTACTCTTAGTTCTATATACTTTGCATGTTTTTATTACAGGAGGCCACTACTTGTATGTTTTGGCTAGTTTTTATGTATGATCTAAAATAAAACCCCTTGGCCAACAAGTATTTTGTTGGCAGTAGCTGCATATAGCATTCACATGTAGCATGTCATAACTGGAGCCTTAGTGGTTTATTCTGTGGATGCCTTGTAGAATCTGGAACCTTTCTGCATGACGTTCCAAGAACTGGTTAGTTCTGTGAAATGAGGATTAAGAAATAGGCATGAAAATTTAACGTAGGGATTAGTGAAGTTCTTAGATGGTGATCTCTCTACACGCTGAAAGCAGTGCCTTCTTGTATGAAGTAGCAATGTTTTTCTGCTATGCTATTAAGAATTTGAATATATATATGCCTGCCCAAACATTAAGTTTGCTGAGACCCAAAGAATGGTCTAAGTTTTATCAGCATTATGGCCTTGCAATAAATTCCAAGCAAATGGAAAATCAGCTTATAAAAACAGCTGCAAATGTTGTGCCTCTGGAACAGCCCACTCATGTCATTTCAGAAGTGCCTTGGCACAGAGCTGTATCATTGCAGAACTCAGCGTGTTTGTAAGTGTTGGCCATATGTGCCATTGTTAAACTAGTCCTAGAGGGTCCATCCTAAGACTTTGTGGCTCCTTCTGGGGGGCAGAAGTAACCATAGTTCACCTTTTAAAGGTCTCAAAAAGATGTGATTTCTGCCAGAGTAATATATCTCTCAGTCCCCAAGAATTGGTGTCTGCTACAAAATAAGGTATTGGAGTGTTCATCAGGCAAGCCATAGTGTGTGACCAAATTGTAATTCATGCAGTAATGCTTTTCCAGTGTTAATTCTCTAGTCCTGTCTTTGACAAAAGCCATCTATTTGTGTTCCTTGTGTGAGAAGCAAGGAGTCCCACTGTTTACCTTGCATAGGCGGAAAGAGCTAGTAGAAGATAGTACTAGTAACACTTGAGGCAAGCAAATTTAATTTTCAACCCTTGTTTGCAACATCTGTCTGTCTGTTGTGTATGACATACAAGAAATAAAGACCGCTGTTCAAGAAGTAACTGCTGGCATGTGTGATGTTAAAAGAAAATGATCAGACAGAATACATGTCCTATGCAATGCAGCAGAATGTTTATTAAACCTTATTTGCATATGTATGAACATTTCAACATAAAATTGGTATACCTCTGAGGTGGGACCTACATCAAATTTTAGCTTCATTTCCTAGTATGTATTTTATCAGAACACTTGAAAGCTACACCTTAAGAACAAGTTCTTATTGCATACAGAAGTTCACAGAATAATGCCGTACTGTTTTCCAGTCAGCAGTGAAGTAAAGTACTGCTTGACAAAATGCCAAAGTTACAAGGAAAACTTCCATACTTTTGCTGATAAAAGAATTGGTTTTGTTTTAAAACTGTTCTTTCATTAGACTGGATAACAGCACTAGTTATCAGGAACAGAATGTCTGAACAAAGTAAAAAAACCGAACAAAACCAACCCAGATCAATAGTAATATAATAACACTGAGCAATAATATTTTGTATCAAAGGACGACAGGACACAGAAAATGTTCTGTCATTTCAAGTTTCTAATCTCAGTAAGTTTTCTACACTTCTGTTGGTTCTCAAATAAAATTGTTTCAACACATTCTGGTTTTGCTATTCTCAGCATTCTTGTCTTGTTTTCCTAATTAAAACCTCCTTCATCAAAATACTTCACCATATACTTTTCCTACTTTTTTTTTTT